ATGTTTTGTGAAATATTTTATCTACTACCCGACACTATCTGATTTCTGTAATGGCTCAATTACAATGCCGCATGCATATTTACTGTTTTTCGTTTCCTTTTTTTTAAATTAAAGGTCACACACCCGGTAGTTAAATAACCCAGTAAATAAACACTTGCTTTATGTTAAAAAAAACCTTATAACGGTTGCTTATTATATGTTCTTAACTCCATTATGCCATTGTTCATAAAAGAATTTTTCGAAATTCTACACCTTCACGGTAAACATGATATCAAGATTAGTTTTGAAGGTTATAAATTTTGAGGTTTGAAGTAAACAAACTTGTTGACGCGCATATAATTCGCTATGTTGCAGAGAACTACATGTAGTTAAAGGACATGCAAAAAAAAAAAAAAAAAAAAAAAAACAAAAACAAACAAAAAACTTAACTGTCACAGGGGGTATCTTAGGGAGCAATCGAACTGGTCTTTGTCCGACATCTTTGGCGAATGTGCATTACGTGCGTTGAAATGCACAATTGTAATAATTAAACAACGAAACTGAAAGTAGAACTTTTAAAAAAAATGAAATAACTTTACAATACTTTTTAACAAAAAAAAAAAAAAAAAAAAAAAAAAAAAGAATACACACAAAATAATAATAATAATAATTACACACACACACAAAAACTGTTTTTAAATTAACCACTTTATTCACGACATGATAACATAATGAATCACTGTCTTTAACATGTATAAGCGCCCCTTTATTTCCAGAAGACAATTTATCATTAAGGTATTTGTTTTCATAAAAAAGAAATTAGGAAAGAAAAAAAGTTGAGAAAAATATGTCTAATGTAAGTAAATATGATAATTATTTTTTATTTTTGTTTGAAGTTAGTTAGTAAATTTATTTATTATCTATTTATTCATTTATTCATTCATTCATTCATTCATTTATTTATTCATTTACATATTTATCTATTTTATTATCTCTTTATTTTTTAAAAAAGAAATGTTTTGAACATTTAGGCGGAACTCCTGAAGTCTTTGAAGTTAAAATTGTCGCTATCATCATAATGATTTTACTGTATATGTAGTTTGAACGATGGAATTTCAGAAAACAATTAGAATTGTTATGTTTTTTGATAAAATATGTATTATTGTTTATTTTTACTTGGGTAGTTATTTCTAGAATAGATTTACACAGTAGAAACTCTTATTGTATGTCGGTGACATAATTCGACCTGAATAACACGTGTAGTCTATATTTAGAGAAAGAAATGAGATAAGATTGCTAACAAATAATTTGAATGAATTGATGTAGATTTTAGTTAATTCTTTATAGTTTTGTTACGTTGCAAAATAACTTTAAATTTTTTCAGTTTCCAGATAACTTTCATTTTGTTACGTTTCCAGATAACTTTCACTTTGTTCCGTTTCCAGATAACTTTCACTTTGTTAAGTTTCCAGTCCAGATAACTTTCACTTTGTTTCGTTTCCAGATAACTTTCACTTTGTTCAGTTTCCAGAAACTTTAACTTTGTTACGTTTCCAGTCCAGATAACTTTCACTTTGTTACGTTGAAAGATAACTTTCACTTTGTTACGTTTCCAAAAAACTTTCACTCTATTCAGTTTTGAGATACATTTCACTTTGTTAAGTTTCCAGATAACTTTCACTTTGTTACGTTTCCAGATAACTTTCACTTTGTTACGTTGCCAGATAAATTTCACTTCGTTAAATCTTTAGATAACTTTCACTAAACATCTTTAACTGAGACTTTTGTATAAGTTTTCTGGTAACTTGCACTTTAGTTTTCGTGAACAGTATTGATTATTCAATTTCTGAACAATATCTGTAAGATTTGTGGATAATTTTCAGTGTCGTTATTCTTGTTCACTGTCAAGTTGAGTTGAATTAGTAATATATTTTAAGAGATTGACTATTTTAATGTTTATAGACCAATTAACGATGCATTTTTAAAAAGAAATCTCCGTTGGTCTCGCGGATTGCATACAGTAGTCAAATATAGAATTGAACACATTTATGGAAAATGTAAGGTTCTTTTGCCTTTTGTCTGTGCACCTACAATTTACACTTTGACGGGCATAATGTAACTTTAAATTTCCGGAAAATATAGTTTTAGTTTCTGTTAACTTATTTTTTGCACAGTTTCGCATCATTTTCGTTTTTACTTTTGTGACCGAGTTTTCTTTTCTTTTCCGGTTGAATTAGGAGTTCCTAAGGAAGAATATTGTTTCAAAACACGAGGCTTTCTCAATTTTTTTAAGATTCGTTGTTCTCGAGTAAAGTAAACGAACTTAGTACTTCTGTTTCTGGGACTTTTGCTATCGAGTATGGATAGCAAGTATGTCACCAGTCATTTCCTTTGAAGCACAGTTGTAATAGTGGTGATAATTTTGAGCCGAAAGTAGATCGCTGTACAGTGACAAATGAGCATCTAAATGTACAGCAAATTTAGACGACTATGAAAAAGATGACGTAGCCATGATGCGGGCTAGTTACCCTTGTTACCTTACTCATCGTCCCTTGATACTCTGTAGTACCTCTTTCCTCGGTTCACTCATGTGTTATAGTACTCAACCGATGTCTGCCATAAATAGAATATATCGACGTAAAGGATTATTTCAATGAACAGTTTTGTTTTTATTCCATTTTAAGCTCAAAGAATAGATAAAGTTATTGTATTCACCCAGGCGTCGGCGTCACACGTTGGTTAAAAATTACGTGTAAATTAGTATCTCCAAAACTACTGAAAGGAATTAATTGAAATTTCGCAAACTTACATTTCAGGGCATAATAAGAGGTAACTGTCAACGGTCCATAACTCTAACATAAATTTTGACAGAAATTTGGCCCTTTTGTAACTTAAAAAATCACCACATCACACAGGCTCTTGTTTTGATGTAATAACTAGGGGACAATTAATTACATGAAGCTTGAATACAGCGCTCTTTTGTAAAAACCATTAGCCTCGTAAATAAACATTGTTTTTCTTCTTATGTTCATCTGATATCTTCAAAGCATGTTAGTTGCCTAAATAGCATTGAATAAGAAATAAATTGCAAAACAAGTTGCAAATTGTAACCAAAATGGTATTATGATTTCTATACAAATCCTAAAGCACTATAACACCCATGTTCTGTAACATGCAAAAGAAGCAAATACATGACGCGGATGCATGGCCAATGAGTAACCTTTTGGACAGATAATATAAAATATTTTGAAAAATAAAGATACTTGCATTTTTATAATACAGTGAGTTAAACGAAAGAGAAAGTGTTTTACTACAGTCAGAGTCCCTGTATTTCACGTATTAATAAACAAAAGTGTTCTATCTCCTAAGGTAAACTTTAATTTGGCGAATTATTTACTATAACTATCAACTAACCTTGACCTTTGGAATCAATTCTTCATTTAATAATTCAATTCTATCATAACGTAGATTGATTTTTCATTTCAGAGGTACTAGTGTCTGGTTGTTGAGTGTTTTTATGCTCCCCGAAAAATTTCGGGGGAGCATATAGTCGTCGGGTTGTCCGTCCGTCCGCCCGTACGTACGTAAGTCCCAAATTCGTGTCCGGCCCATAACTTTGTTATTTGAAGTCGGATTTTAAAATTATTTCACAGAAATGATCACCATATTGAGACGACGTGTTGCGCGCAACATTTGGATCGCTACCTTGAAGGTCAAGGTCACAGCATGACCTTGCAGCAAAATCGTGTCCGGTCCATAACTTCGCTATTTGAAGTTAGATTTAAAAATATTTCACAGAAATGATCACCATATTGAGATGACGTGTCGCGCGCAACATTTGGGTCGCTACCTTGAAGGTCAAGGTCACAGCATGACCTTGCAGCGAAATCGTGTCCGGTCCATAACTTTGTTATTTGAATTCGGATTTAAAACATATTCCACAGAAATGATCACCATATTGATACGATGTGTTGCGCGCAACATTTAGCTCGCTACCTTGAAGGTCAATGTCACAGCATGACCTTGCAGCAAAATCGTGTCCGATCAATAACTTCGCTATTTGAAGTTAGATTTAAAAAGTATTTCACAGAAGTGATCATCATGGGAAGATGACGTGTCATGCTTAACATTTAAGTCGCTACCTTGAAGGTCAAGGTCACAGCATGACCTTGCAGCAAAATAGTGTCCAGCCCATAACTTCCTTATTTGAAGTCAGATTTTGAAACTATTTCACAGAAATGATCACCATATTAAAATGGCGTGTCATGCGCAACATTTGGCTCGCTACCTTGAAGGTCAAGGTCACAGCATGACCTTGCAGCAAAATTGTGTCCGGCACATAACTTCATTATTGAAGTCGGATTTTTAAACTATTTCACAGAAATGATCACCACAATGAGACATTGTGTCACGCGCAACATTTGGGTCGCTACCTTGAAGGTCAAGGTCACGGTATGACCTTGCAGCAAAATCGTGTCCGGCCCATAACTTTGTTACTGGAAGTCGGATTTAACAACTATTTCACAGAGATGATCACCATATTGAATCGACATGTCGCATGCAACATTTGGGTCACTACCTTGAAAGTCAAGGTCACAGCATGACCTTGCAGCAAAATAATGTCAGGCGCATAACTTTGTTATTTGAAATCGGATTTTACAACTATTTCACAAAAAGATCACCATATTGAGACAATGTGTCGTGCACAATATTTGGGTTGTTTTTACACTTTGAACTTTGTCTGTGACATAACTCTGACACAACAAGAGGTATACCTACCTGTGTCCAAAACCTATTCAGGGAGCATCACCCGGTTCAACCGGCTCTTGTTGTCTTTCGTTGTCGCCCCTAGGGCTGTAAATGTAAAACAGAAAAAGCTATACAATTGTAAATTCTTCCAGATTACAAAAAATGTAATCTGCCGTTAAAGAGTCCATTCCCGATTCAAAAGCATTCAGCAGCAAATTTTCAAATCAGAATCGGAAATTACCGAATTAGGCTACACATTGATGTTTTAAATGTGATGAATGCTAACAATGTGTTTTATTATATCTTTGTTACATGTCATACATGTATTTAGTATCTATTTAATTACAGGCTACCCTCCACCACCAGCTTACGAAGAGCAAAACAAGGGAGTTTCGAGTGCTTACCCACCACCGGAGACAGGCTATCCTTCCCAAGGGTACGCTCAACCAGGGTACGGCCAGACCGGGTATACCCACCAATCAACAACGGCAGTGGTAAGGACATATAACACAATTTCTGTTGACGTTATTTTTCTCCAATCCAAAACAGAATGGGACTTAATTGCCACATATGTAGCTGAATTAAAGTATATGAGAAAATTGCGCAGTAAGCTGCAATGAATAAAACATTAAAAACATAAAACAATTTTATATAAAATTGTATGCAATATACTTTTGCGTATTTGATTTTTTTTCTTGAATATCATGTTATATATTATTTGTGTGCTTAAAGTAGCTTACAGTAAACTATTCGAAACATTGTCCTTTGACCTACTTGCACGAGATTAAAAAGAAATAGTCAGCACAGATCCGTGGATGTTATGGCAATGGTAATTCAGTGTTAAGAAAGATCTATTAGTGCCGCTGCTTTTTGAATATGTAACGGGAAACAAACGTGCTAGGGTTGTGTTATTCTCTGACGCGAAAATGGCTTTAAGAAGATCGAGAGATCATCTTAATTAAGGAGATGGTTAGATGGTTACACGAATTCCAGTTGTGCAAAAATATTTAGATGGTTGGAAGCATGGCGACTAATTTAAAAGATGTCTAGTCGAAAAACGTGGAAATACACTTAGACTATGATTTTAATTTTGTTGTTATGCTTTTAAATTTCAGGTTGTGACACAGCCAGGATATGCTGGCCAAGTGGTAGCAATGCCAAGACCTCCAGATTACATGATCGGCTCAATCATGGCCTGTCTCTGTTGTTTTTGGCCGACAGGATTGTGTGCTATATACTATGCATCCCAGGTGAGTGGTACATGAAGTTTGAAATATATCATTTATCATCACTATTCATAAAAAATCATCATCATTAACATCATCACCATGCAAGTAATGCATTACTTTGTTTAATGTTAGGATTTTTTTATTAAAACAAGCAAATTTGTCCATCTCTTATCTTGTAATATATGTATCTTATATTTCTAAATGTTCTTACATTGAGTTTTTCTACTGGAAGGATACTATGTAATCGCGCACCTGCCAAATGCCCCCAATCGGACGTTTTTCTTTGTAACCATCCCGTCGACTCGAAGGTAAAATATGTTTTTATTCTACGAAATCGTTAGAATATCAAAACATAATGTAGCGCAACAAAGATTGGCTTAAGTACATGTATTGATTTAATTTATAAAAAATGGTTTGAAGTTTTACAGCCTAGTCCTGAAAACGGGATAAAGTTGTTTTTCCTCAATGCCCTCACTCGGACTCAAAAACAAAATTAATCCAATTAAGCAGGTGCTCGATGACGTAATATCCTACCATTGTGAATGGATCATATGCACTCCCCGTTGTCATTTACTTCATGTCTTTATCTCTCTATCATTACCTTATTCCAGGCCAGCAAATTGTCAGCTGAAGGAGATATGGTTGGTGCCACAAATATGGCAAACAGTGCCAGAAACCTGATGATCACAAGCATTGTGATTGGCGTGATATGGATCGGCCTTGTTATTGTCCTCAGAGCGATTGTATACGCAGATTACTACAGCAACAGTAGCTATTAGGTGATCAAATCAATGAGACGCTTGAAAGGGAGATAAATCCAAAAGTAGCCAATCGCCCCTACTCCAGTCTAAAATCAAAGAAGAAAACAAATCTTGTCAACTAGACACTTTTGAAATACATATACGACGCTGGAAATTCCAAAGTATTCCGAATCTTTACAAATCAATTTTAAATGGAAGATTTGATTCGATAGTTGACATTTACAATGCAAACTTACTTTATTGGACATATTTGGAAATATCATTTCCGGGCTTGACTTTTATTTATGTGCGTAGATCTATGTATTTTTTAAGAAATTTATAATCTAAAGCTTTTGTGATAAAAAAAAACATTTTATAGTTTTATTATAAATGTTTCATATATTTGAGTCAAATATTTGGTATAACAATTGGTTACATTGATATAACATTATGTGTGTTTTTGTTTATATGTTCAAAACCTATAAAACAAACTGTATGATTCATGTTGACGAACTAATTTTAAGGTAGACCACTGCTAATGGGCACTACATTGTAAAAGGAACTATAAAATTGCCAACATAGGATAGTTACATGTATATGCCTTAAATGTCACCTGTATGCAAGATTCAAATTAAATTTACCGTGTTGTTTATGAGTTATTGACATTTTTCTGAACTAAAACTTTGTCATAAGAAAGGCTTTTTTCAAAAATGAGGAAACTCCAAATAATCTATAATATCATCATTATGAAAAATGTTTTCCTATTCCTCGTTGTTAAGAAACAAATAACTATCAGGTAACAAATTACAAAATTTGGCACTGTTTAGCAAATAACTACCTACAATAATTGTATAATTAATATTAAGCATTTTTTTACATAAGGGATCTGAGAGATACATAAATAATGTTATAAAAAAAGAAAGAAAACAAGTTGCCTTCCTGGGGTTGAACCCACGCCCATTATTTTCAATGCACTTGCCTATTTGAATACTCTTCGTCGTGGAGGTAATGCATTAGCAGTGGTCTACCTTAACAAATGCATTCGGTGACGTTATGCTGTTAGTGTATATGATGACGTGAGATTTAGTGTGTGTGTGTGTGTTGGTGCGCGCGTTTGTGCGTGCGTGTGTGTGTGTGTTTGTGTGTGCGTGCGCGTGTGTATGTATGATAAAATATAACGTATTTATGCATCTTCTCGTGTGTTTTTAGAAAATAATGTACATGTAAATTTTTATATTAGTTGCTTTTATGTATTGTTTGGGATTTAAATAATTGAATTCAAATAAATACCATACTTAATATCGCGACAAGAACAAAGTAGTCATAAAGTGGACTGTTATTTAATTTTAAACTGTAAGTCATCAAATGCTTAAAAATAAGGAAATTAAAATGACATGTATCGTGCCATTTTTGAGTAATTGTAAAACAGCATTTGGAATTTGCAATTGGAATGCTTTGCATAATACCAAGAAAATATATGTTAAAATTTGTTAACCTTTGTCATCTATTTTCTGATAATAAATGAACATTTTGTTTTATTTTATCTACATTTTTCAAATATAGATTACAAAGCAGAGATACATTTTCATGTTCGCAAAGAATCGACCCCTAGCCCCTTCTTGTCATTAATACCGGATTCCATAAAACTGTGGAGTACATGTACATCAGTAATTTGCACAAAGACATTTTACAGAGTAAATAAAGATTCTTTTAATCTGGGACAAATATTTTTGTCCCATATTTAACCACTAATTCGAAAACTTTCTGTTAATAAACATTATTACATTTTAGTTTAGATGATAATCAACGAGAAATCAAAGGGATAAGAAAGGTCCAAAAAAGAGCATCAACTATTCAGAAACAACCGTCCCTTGTTATGTAAACCTATTTAACGCCAATGCCAAATATGTACTTTACAGTTAAGAAAACCGCATAGTAGAAGGGGTCTGAAAAAGTATATAATCTTAGAGCCGCATGCCTCCATATTCGTGCTGATTTTCATATATATTTCAAGACTTTCAGATGATATTGTAGTAAAATATTGACAAGTGAACAAAGACAGTAATAAGCACATTACAAGCGGCACTTTTAATTCACGTAAATAACAAATCAAAACAATAGCCCTTACCGTGCTAGTCACGCAGAAATATGGTGCTATGTAAATACTGCAAAATCAGTCACTTATAGCATATAACATGTAAATAATTCCTTGAATTGAGAATAATGTTACTTTTCTTAAAGTAATGGTATATTTTTTCAGAAGTTGATTTTCTTGAAATTTGTCGTGTCATCTGGAGGCATGCTAGTCTGGAGTTCCCTCCCCTGAAACTACGTTATCCATTGTAAACAAAGACAGGTAACCAGACTAGAGGCGCGCGGTTTCATTTCCGGTACATATGAACTCGTGTATTTATATAAAAACAAGTAATTAACTACCTGTATCTTCAAATATTTGACACAGTTATAATAGTAACAAAGAGACAAAGTGTAGGTTTAAACAATACCCGATGTAATATGATATAATGCTAAACCTTGACTAAAATAAATGTATTCTTACTATGCATAAGTCTATCTACACTATGCTCTTAGATTTACAAGTCCTCACAAATACTTCTTTTATTTTAAGGTTTCTTTTAAGGCTTTAAAAGCTGAGAGGAGATCGCACAATCAATAGTACATTGTATTTTTACAAAATCTTGTCTCTCAACACAAAAAACTAATTTTACGATAACGTAAAAATGTCAGCTTATTTCAAAGAGCTCCAAAAAACACCTCAATCTGCCCAGGCCCTACTATGTTCTACATCTATTATTTGAACATTTTTTTCTACAGCAGGAACAAAGCAATACATTATGGAGACCTAATATGAATTTACAAAATTGCAATGATGCATGCCGTTGAGCAGTCGTCAGCGGATTATTATAATATGAGGAGGCGCAATCTTTTGTATACGTTTACATTTAAATTGGTATAATATGCCATGTTGATGATCCAATGCGATAAGATTGTGTCGATTTATAACAGTTACAGAATACCAATATTCATAAAAGATATTTTGTAGGTCGACCCTTAACTATTCACATTGTGGTATTGTTTAAATCAAATTCTTTGAAACCCTCGCGTTCATGGAATCCATGAAAGGAACATGTGCCAACTTATTGCAGCCGTCCCATAATACTTTAAGAAATAAGAACCTATGTCAAAGATAATCACCCTGTCATAAGTACAAGGTCCAGCAAGGAATACTTATTATCTAACATTTTTTGTATACCATATAAACATGACGGACAATGCAAGTAAGTAAAAATACACATTAGATATTACATTTACTTATAACGATATTAACACTATTAATT